GTCGGGCTGGCTTGGCTAGGTCAGTTATGCACGCAAGGTGCTTCGGTTCGTGACAACGAGACAACCGCGGGCGCCAATGTGGTCGTACGGACCTCGACTGAGTGGCAGGTATTTGCCCATGAAACTGGCCATACCTTTGGTGCTTTCCATGACTGCACCTCCACAACGTGCTCTGATGGTACTTCGTCAAAGCAGCAGTGTTGCCCTTTGACCTCGAGTACTTGCGATGCTGATGCGCAGTATATTATGAACCCCTCGACCGGATCCGGTATTACCCAATTTTCCCCCTGCACTATCGGCAACATATGCTCTGCGATGGCCCGGAGTAGTGTCAGCTCCACTTGCTTGGCCAATAACAAAGACGTTGTCACCATCACCGGAAGCCAGTGTGGCAATGGCATTGTCGAAGCGGGCGAGGACTGCGACTGCGGCGGTGAGTCTGGATGTGGCAACAACCCCTGTTGTGATGCTGCCACTTGCAAGTTCACAACAAACTCGGTTTGCGATCCCTCGAACGAGGACTGCTGCAACGACCAGTGCCAGTTGGAATCGTCAGGAACGATATGTCGAGCCAGCACCGGCTCGTGCGATCCCCAGGAAACGTGCAGCGGCACTGCAGCGACATGCCCGACAGACGTCAAGGCCCCAGATGGCGATTCCTGCGGTGCCAGCGGCGCTGGGCTCACCTGCGCCTCCGGCCAATGCACCTCGCGCGACCTACAGTGCCAGACCCTGGTCGGCGCGGTGACAAACAACAATGATACATCAGCCTGCGACTCGTCCAGCTGCCTCATCCGCTGCGCCTCATCACAGATTGGGCCAAATGCGTGCTACGACATGCAACAGTACTTCCTCGACGGAACGCCTTGCGAGGGCGGCGGGACCTGCAACAACGGGCAGTGTGAAGGCGCTAACTTCGGCGACCAGGTCGGCTCATGGTTCGCTGACAACAAGGAAATCGTGATTCCCGTTGCCGCCAGCGTCGGCGGCTTGTTCTTGATCGCTATTGTCTCCTGTTGCTTCACCTGCACTCGCCGCCGTATGCGCCGCCGCAAGGTAGCCAAGACGGTGCAGCCTAACAGCAGCTGGGTCGGTGGTGGAGGTGCAAATTGGGCGGCTGCAGGTTCTATCCCCCAACCAGCTCCCACGGCCCGTGGCGCGAACGGGCGTAGTAGGGACAGGGGTGTGGCACCGCAGCCCTGGCAGGTTGACCAGCCTTGGGGACCTAGGCCGCGGGTTTCTACTATGAGATACGCTTGAACGACATGGTAATTAAGTGATGATTGCCTTTATGCAATTCGGTTGTGAGGAAGAAAATGAAATTAGAAAGGGCCTGGGCTGGTATCTGGGATTCGGGAAGAGGAAGAGGACGGGAAAGGGGTGAGATGTACAGATCATCAACCCCGATAAGAAACAGAAAGGATCTAGATGAGGCGCTATAGTGTATTCAAGGGGGGTTGGCATGTGGTACTAGACCACGTTCATCATCATTCATCATCGTTCATTCGTCATATTACGGAGTTGGCGGCGTTATAAGGGTATGAGGCCAATGGCATGCTATAGCATTTCACAAGGAAAGATGACGGGCATGACGACTCTCGGTTTTAGTAGAATAGGTCTTTGGATAAGAGGGGGACATGGATATATTTTCCCGGGTTTGAATAAGTAGTATATAAGACGAGAGAAGACGAGCTGGACAAGAGAGGGCTTGTTAGACATGAGACCAATCAATCAATACCTGATAATGATGAAGATGCCGGTTGATGACGGTGATGATTCTTAAACCAGACTGGGTGCGGTGTAGAATGATTCCTAGTCTAGATACCGTCTATCCTTCTTCCCCAGGCCGTGCGTGACTTTCCCCGATGAAACCAACTTCTTCCCTCAAGAGCGTCAGCTACATCTCGCCAATATGTTTTTTCCCTTTTCTTTTTTTTTTTTCGGGTGCGCTTGTACGAACGACATTACGGATGATGGCGGGTATATATATATATATATGAATGAGTAACGAAAATACCTCTTTCTTCCTCCCTCCCCCCTTTTTTATGGCATGGCTGGGAAGAGAGATAGAATACGTACACATGTCTGGTAATAGACAGATGGTTTCTCGTCGTGTCGTCCTTTTTTTTTGTCTTTCTCCTCTCCACCTCCACCCCCTTTCTCTCTCTCTCTCTCTCTCTCTCTCTGGTCATTCGCTGCCCACACGCGCTCTTTACTTGTTGCTGGTTATCTATCAATGCGATCTACGTATCGCATTTCTATCGTGCGGTTCGTCTAAGAGTCTTATCTATATGAATTATAAGTATACTGCTTTCCTCGACTGATAAAGAGGTAGGTTAGCGTTTTTTCAAGCTCACGTCACGATTCATCTTTTGCGATAGAAAATAGGAGGAAAAAAAAAAGAGGAAAACCACCGTGGACTTTTAGGCTGAGCGAGGAGCTTCTATTCTAAATACGTTACTTAGATTAGACCCGCCAGACCTTTGGGCCTTTGGGCCTCCGGCGGCGGTTTCTCTTTTGTCTCTGCTGGGTGCCTACCTACACATAATAAATAGCAGTCGAAGTGGAATCCTGGCAGCCTGGCAGCCTGGATTCGTACGGACAGCCTCTTTTCTTCAGCTGGTCCACTTCGTGCCTAAAATTCAAGCAACCCTGTAATCTCCTACTTAGTATGTAGGTTAGTTAGTTAGTTAGAACACTCTCTAATCCACAAGTGGATTTCTATATACGAGACTCACATACGGGAAATAGCCTGCGACGAACTTTCTTCGTTTCCAAGGCGGATTGGCCCGCCTTGCGGACACGAATATCAGGAATTTATGTATCTATGGCATACAGCTGAAACCCCAGCCAGCTGTCTTACAGGGGCGGTCCTGGGAGGGAAGAGAGGTGAGGAAAGTAAAAAAAGACGACTTGCAATAAGTTATATATATATAAATATATATATTAATACAGGACCGAAGGCAGTGCTGACCGCAGTTATACGAAAAGTCCTCCTCCTCCTCCTCCTTCTGTCTCTCTCTCTCTGTGCCGTGTAGCGTACATCCATCTCGGGGTCTGGGTTTCCAACATTTGTCTGTCAACCTACCTACCGACCTACCTACTTATTTAGAGTAGACAGTTTGTTCCCTCCCTCCCCCTCCCTCCCCCCAAAAAATGGGTCCGACTGTCGACGTCCTCCCGCTCCGGTTCCAGAGCCAGGGTATCACCTTCGGGGACTGGGTCTCGCTCTTCACCCTGAGCCTGGCGCCGCTGATCGCGCACGTGATCGCCGGCGTGCCTACGGTCTCGTACCTGGGCGGCGGCGGCGGGACGGGAACGACGGGGATGACGAGGATTAGACGGCCCCGGTGGCACGAGTACCTAGCCCATTACAACCCGACCTCGATCCTCTGGCGGTACGCGGCCATCACCGACCGGCGGATCCGGGCGCGCGCCTGGAGCCCCGCCGACATGGCCGCGTCCAACACGCTGTTCTGGACGGCGGCGGCGGCGGCGGCGCCGCGCGGGGGTGATGGGGATGGGGACGGGGATGGGGGTCGCTGGGACGGGTCCGAGGCCATGGTGACGGCCAGCCTGCCGTACTGCGCGTTCCTGCCCGAGCACGCGCGCGCGGGCTGCTTCTCCAAGGAGATGGTCAAGACGCTCATCATCACGCTGCAGGGGGTCCAGGCCCTGTACCTGCTCATCGGCGGCCTGGTCAGCGAGGCGGGAAGCTTCATCGTCACCATCGGCATCGGCACCATCTTCTTCCCGCTCGCCTGGATCGGCCTGCTGCGGCTGTGCTGCGGGCTCTGGCTCTCGGACGACTTCGCGTATACGACGCTCGACCGGCTGGATGGTGGTGGTGGTGGTGGAATGGGTGGAGGAGGAATAGGAATAGGAATAGGAGGAGGAGGAGGTGAACGAGGCCAGGAGGACGTCGTGACCATGGTCGACATGAGCACCCCTTCGACGAAGCAATCCTCGGCATACGACCTGCTGGACCAATCCGTGCCGTCGTCCACCACCACCATGATGCTAGCGCCGCAGCGGTTCGACCCGCCCTCCTCGTCCTGGGCCAGCAAGCTGTTCCGCACCGCGTACGTGGCGTCGATCGCCGGGGTGGCGGTGATCGGGATCCTGCTGGTGACGCCGTGGGACTGCCCGGCGGCGGCGGGGGCGGCGTGCGGGATCCAGTTCACGGCGCTGCAGGTCGTCTTCGCGGCCTTCTACCTGGTGGTGCTGGTGGCCAGCGCGCTGGTGCTGGGCGCCTACTTCGCCGCCGGCCGCACCACCACCACGGTGATCCCCTGCATCGCCAGCGCCTGGTACCGGGCCTACAGCGGCTTCCTCGCCGCCCTGGCCGCGCTGCTCGTCGCCGTCGCCTGCCTCGAGACCCGCCGCACCCCGTGCGGCCGCTACACCAGCTTCCCCGGCTACGTCGGCACCGTCATGGCGTGCTACGACGAGGCCGCCGGCGTGGACACCGTGGAGCCGCTCCACGCGCCCGGCGTGCCGGACCGGTACGACATGGGGTCCTTCGCCATCGCCTCGCTCGGCCCGCGCCACGACGTGGAGAACCGCACCGTGCTGGAGCCGGACGAGTTCTGGGTCTACAACTTCACGGGGTATTGCCTCGGGCACGTCGACACGGATATCTGGCAGGTCGCTTCGATTTCTGACACCCGGAATATAACGGCTGCGATCTATATGGTTGAGGGCTAATTTGTTTTTTTTTTCTTCTTTCTTTTTCTGTCTCCTGGTTATAGAGATTGAATATGAAAAGTAACGATATATACTAGGTCGAAGGTTCTTGGTTCTGTGAAAAGGATATATATAGATAGATGGGGCGCACAGGAAAACAAGAGATATGTAGTAATGGCCGGTTTGCTGCTGGTGAACGGGCTTTATGATTGACGAATGCATATATATACAATAAGGATTCAGGAGGGAAATGAAGAAGAAAAATAAAAGAAAAAGAAGAAAAAGGAGTGACAGCAAAAAGAAGAAAAATAATATGACCTAGCTGGGACTCGAACCCAGATCGAATCAAGCGTGAGCCCAGCCGTACAAGGCTCCCACCTGATCCTGTGCTTTTTACCATTAAGCTACCAGGTCGTTGGCCATTGTTACTGTCCCAAAGTTACAACAATGTATTATATATGAGCAAGCCCCTACCTTCTCCCCCCCCCGCGCCTTCCAAGATAAGAAGATAGGGTACAGAAGAAGAGTTACCGAAACAATCCTGATGATAAGTTGAAGATGCGTTTCTGACTAATCTGCTTGGACGGTCGACCCCCTTTAGCCCCCTAGCAATCGTCTATTCCCGGTGGATTTATGAAGAAAGGGGAACCTTCTACTATACAGCCAGAAGAAGCACTCAGGTTCTAAAGCATATCAGGAACAAGATGAATTCCGTAGGCGAATACACACACACAACTAAGCCAAAGGCTCCCATCCATCCCCATAAGTCTGTCTCTTGTGAGCTGTCTGTGGGCCGTCGATATGCAGCTGATGATCCGTGAGGAGTAGTAGTACTACCTGTCTAGCCCATCTATCTTCCTACCCCATACATAATACATACACTCACTCCACCAAACCCGATACCGAGACGAAAGTTCAGGGAAACCCACTTAGAAGGCCTCGGCGGGCGAGTTGACGCCTCCCCCCCGGTCACGCAGGCTATATGACAGATGACCAATAGCTGCTTATGCCCCGAAGATAAGAGCGGAGCGGCATACAGCCCATCATCGGTCTCGTGCCGTCCGTCAGTTACATGCTCATGCGTGAGTCGCCGGCTCCTGAGGCCCGCTTGCGCTGGTGCTGGGGTCTTTTGCGCGAGGGCGCTTGTTTCGGCTTGTGCGCCTCTGCGCCGCGGGCGGTGGGTCATCGAAGTCGCACAGCATGCGGGTATAGCGGAGGCGTGTGGCCGGTATGGACTGAGCGGTGTTAGCTTGACGATTTTTTTCCCAAGTGGTTTGCTAGGTAGTTTGCATGAGAGGTTGTTCAGGTATGAAGGTTCTGGGGAAGATGTGAGGTAGGAGGAGGTTAAAAAAAAAGGGAGGGGAGGAGACTGGATAGGGAAAGATGACCGATAGAAAGGGATATGATGCAAAGGTATGGTACAGAGTGGATCACACGGGGGGAGACGGTACCTCATCATCTCGCTGGGCTGCCGTCATCAGCAATTCCGGATTGTTCAGGACCTGGGCGGCGACGCGTCGGCGGTCCAGGACGGCAAAGGGCTCGCCTCTTCCTCCTCTGTCGTCAGCGGACGTGCCAGTCGAGTCGCTGCTTCCATCGGACGCCTCATACGGATCCTTGCCGCGCGCCTGGCGGTCCCGCATCTCGGCGGTGAACGGTTCGTTCTCCTTGTTCAAGTCGAGGGCTCTGGAACCCCTGGCGGCTGCGCCTGGCGAAGTCCAGCCCTGCGGGTTTTGGTTGGGCTCGTTCATGATGATTCGCCTCCTCGTGATCAGTGAATGCCGGTCGTTTATGGTGATGAAGAGTACGAGAGGAGTTTGAGAAGAATTGGAGCTAGCTTTTATCTATTAAGCAAGTTGGGCGGAGGTGTAAGGCTTGTCGTCGGATTGCTGCATATAGCCAAGTAGCCAGGTCAGGATGGTATGGCGGTGGCGACTCTGCTTTTGTTTTTTTTAACTTTGCTTTTTCCCTCTTCCAGTGGCTTTTGCAATCATCGATATGCCGTTATTCGTGATCACCTGATCAACATGCCTATATTGAGGCGTTAGTCTCCTGCTTATTTCACATGATACGATGTTTTTTGAGACCATGTTGAGGTTGTTGTTGTTGAACTTCTGACTTCAATGTGGCTCAACCTTAAATGTAGCTAAGGTTAGACTTACTTACATCCATGGATAGTAAGATTGTACTTAAAATCGCTCCGTATGTATTCGACCGCGGTACACTGTGTGTCTAAAAAAAACTGCTGACCAAGGCACAACAACTCACCTGGGCATGTTGACATATATCCAGGAAGGCCGAACATCTTCCCAGGGCTACATTGTCTATCAAGTTTTAAGCATCGAAACCCACAGTCGGAGGGAAGCCGGAACACAGCGGCAGACTACGTGTTTTCCGAGACAGGTCTATGACTCTGACACGCCAGATCGAACATCAAACCCCTTTATTTTGTCGTAGAATCAATCAGCTTGTACTACGCCAGCCGGAAGACATGTCTTTGAATGACGGCTCGCGTTCCACGTGTACATGCCTCCAGGACCCATACATAGCCATTCATGCTTTACCTGTGGTAAGTTCCCGTCGTGGAGTCAATGTTTCTGGGCACCCACCCCCGAATCGGACTCTGGAATATTTATGCGCACCAATCCCGGTGCGCGACGGGTGAGTTACCCCGAGCGGGAGCTACCTGCCCGCGAAGAGCAGCTCGACGGGCCCGCTCCGATGCATGCGCCCTCCTCCAGTGCCCGCATGCCCGGCTGGCCCCAGTTCGCGGTATAAGTTCACACGTCGCTGCTGCTGGACCGAGGTTTCTCTGACTTTTGCCCATGTGCCTAACATACGCCGTGTTGCGCGCGAGAGCTATTGACAGTCGTCCAGAGGACCGCCTTCAAGATGACTACCTTCACCAAGATCATCGGGGATGAAACCCCGCTTATAGAAGTCGATGCGAGCAAGAGGCTGTCCAAGATAGATCCCATGACCTATGGAGGTTTTACAGAGTAGATCCCACCTTAATTCATATCCTAGCCGTCTCCCGAGACAATATCTATCTATCTCGCTTTCACGATCCCAGCTGACGGCAATGATAGGCACATGGGCCGTTGCATCTATGGGGGTATCTACGAGCCGGGCAGCCCGCTTGCGGACGAGAACGGCTTCCGGAAGGACGTACTCTCGGCTCTTCGTGAGCTGGACATCCCCGTGGTCCGGTACCCTGGTGGAAATTTCTGTGCAACATACCGGTACGTATAGAAACATGTTCCCTTTCCATCTCTGCCCCCACAATCTCGAAACTCCTCGCACTAACCAGTTCCCAGTACGTGGCTTCCCCGTCGCGATTCTCCTAGAATTACTGGTTAGAGAAGACTGATATACATGTGTGTTTTTCGATACACCAGACTGGCAGGACGGGATCGGACCGGTAGACCAGCGGCCGGCGCGGCCCGAGCTCGCCTGGCTCGGGGTCGAGAGCAACAAGTTCGGCACGGACGAGTTCATGGCGTGGCTGTCGGCGCTGGGCGAGGGCAAGCCGGAGCGCGTGGAGCCGTACCTGTGCCTGAACTTCGGCACGGGCACGCTGGACGAGGCGCTGGCCTGGGTCGAGTACTGCAACGGGACGCGGGACACGTACTGGGCGAACCGGCGGCGGGCCAACGGGCACCCGGAGCCGTACCGCGTGAAATACTGGGCGCTCGGCAACGAGACCTGGGGCCCCTGGCAGGTGGAGCAGATGACGCAGGAGGACTACGCCAAGAAGGCGCGCCAGTGGGCCAAGGCGCTGCGGCTGCTGGACCCGGGCATCGTGCTCGTGCTCTGCGGCAACGACGGCACCAACTCGTGGGACCACCACGTCCTGCACGAGTGCATCGAGTGGGTCGACATGCACAGCATCCACGTCTACACCGCCGCCGGCGGCGCGCACCTCAAGAACGTGACGGCGCCGCTGGCCGCCGAGCGCGCCATCGGCATCGCCGCCCGCCTAATCGAGCTGGCGCGCATCGAGAAGGGCGTGCCGCCGTCCAAGCCGCCCACGAGAATCTGCTTCGACGAGTGGAACGTGTGGGACCCGGTCCGGGCCCCCGGCGACAAGGGCGCCGAGGAGACGTACACGCTGTCGGACGCGCTGGCCGTCGCCGTCTGGCTCAACGTGTTCGTGCGCCAGAGCCGGCACGTCGGCATGGCCAACATCGCCCAGACCGTCAACGTCATCAGCCCGCTCATGACCACGGCCGAGGGCGTCGTGCGCCAGACCACCTGGTGGCCGCTCTGGCTCTTCAGCCGCCACATGCGCGGTTGGACCCTCGCCGCCCACGTCCGCGCCGGCGCCTATACCGGCGAGACCCAACCCGCCTGGCTGCAGGGGAGCCTCGGCGCCGACGGCGGCGGCGCGCCCTGGCTCGACGTGAGCGCCTGCCTGGACGACGCCGGCTTTGTCAACCTGGCCGTCGTGAACCTGAGCGAGCACGAGGACTTTGCCGTCGAGCTCAAGGGCGTCGCTGGTCCGGACGTGTTGGTGTACACGGTATCCGGGTCGGGTGTGGAGGTGACCAACACTCAGGGCAAAGAAGAGGTCGGCCTGGCGGAGCGGAAGTGGGATGGGATCGGCTCGTTCACATTTTCCAAGCATAGCTTCACCATGTTGCGGTGGAAAGCTTAGATAGTCTCATGCGACTCGCTGATACTGTCCATGAACATTCGCAACAACAAAGTAAGCCGTCTGGTTTATGTATTCCCATCATGTCATGACAGGGGGCTACCAACAACTATTTATACAAATGAGCATGACCGCAATGTATACCTCGTAGAGCTGTCTATTGCTGGTTGATTATACATATTCGTGGAGTCTCCTGTCAAAGGCGACGTAGCACACCCACGTCGGGGCTGTTTCCAAGGAAGGTGTCATAACATCGTCCTCATCGTGGCAAACCCAAGTTAAGTGATGTTTTTTTTCCTGTCCTCGTGAGATCTTCGAATATATTTCGAACTAGCCTGAGCTGTCAATTGGTCAAAAACTGGTGACAGCGGCCTTGCCTTGCGCAATCAGGGGGTAATGAATTCGGCTTTAAAAGGAGGCTAGCCTCCACGAAAGCCGTCCCTATTTGATGTGGCATTCGAGCATTCTCCCCTGCTATAGAACGGGCATGCCAATAATTAGGACTGCCACTTCCGGCCTGATGACACCTCTTGTGGAGCGCCTCAAGTAACCGAATAGCCACTCGTGTGCGGTTGAAGTCGTTGGATAGACGTCTAATCAGCACACGTGACGCTTCGACAGTTGATAATAGCGAGCTATATGCTGGTTAAGGAGACGTCAACACGAGCGTTAGCTGGGTGACTTACCTTGTTGTTCACACCATAAGCTAGCTTGTGTCCAGAAAAGTCCCAGGCGAGACATACTTCTTCTTCATCCGGTT